CTAGTTCTGTGATTATTCAAAGTTCCTAATTCTCCTCTTGTTATTTTGAAGCAGATCCTGTAGAGTGAATAAACTATATCCAGGTGTATATTTAGGTTGTTTAGAATAAATCAGTACAAAATGGGCCTTCTTCTGCAAGATTGGTCTTAGAATCTGTCTCTCTTACCCTCAGGAGGTATAAGGTAGGCAGATTGCTCCCATCCAAAGCACTCTGGATCCTTTGGTTTCAGCTCTCTGGGTTCTCTCATAATATCTCTGCCCTGCCATCTCCCCACCACCACCTGGCTGGGATCCAACACCCCCATGTATTTGGTTGATTGACACACAATCTAATTAGATAACAAGTGTTCAGACATATTAGAATCAAAAGTGATAGAGTTGTGGAATGTTATTAGTATCATTTCTGGGTTTTAGTTAAACTGTACGGAGAAAATGATAAATAATTTCTTCAGAGAGTCAATTACCTTTTCTCCAGTTTAGTTGCTGAAATTTTTTGCAATCTGTGACTTTTCTTTAGCTACTCTGACCTCATTTAGAAACTTTATTAATCCTTTTCTCATCTTTCTTTTCTAGGGACTTTTATATACTCCTTCTATAGAAAAGGAGTACCTTCTTCCTGCCCAAAGCTTGCCTTCTTTTTCTGCTCTATTTTTTCTGATACTGCTTTATTTGCTAGTCTAACAACATTTTCTTCTTCTTGATAAACTTCTGAATCACTGTATCATTATCCTTAATGCCCCCATCAGACCTTCAGAATATGGACTTAAGTTTCCATATAAATTCTTATTAAGTTAAAACTTTTAAATACTGAGAAACACTCTAAATTATATTTTTTTTCCTTTACACTTTCAGACAGGCAAATCTGGCTCTGTATCTATAGTATCACCCCTCTTCCTAATTTTTTTAAAATTACTCTAGGGATCGAGGGGGCATATATAATTGATAAATTTTTAATTTAAGCTGTTAGAGTATTATTTTAAAATTAACATCTATTTTTTAACCTAGTTATCCTCAGCTGAGTTCAGTTCTAACCATTATTGTTGGTATCATTTGAAAATATTTGAAAATTTGCTTATTTAGTTGTTTGGACTGAAAAATGAGAAATTTTCTAATGGTCATAGCAGATCTAAATTCTGATTTCTGAATCAGATTTTTTTATGGAATTCTCAGAAATTTGGATATATTTTGATTAACTTATTAAGTAATATAGGTGTTTGGCTTTGATTTATGAAAACTCACACAATTATTTCAGAATAGAGTTAAATAGTTCTAAAAGCCTAAAATATTTGTTTTTATTTATTTGGCTGTCTTGGGTACCTCTCTTCTATCTATTGTTGATAATTTCCTTTCATTTAAAAATTTTAATCTTATTTAGATAGTATTAAAAAATTGACTCCAATTTGATTATCTACCTTCCATCTTCAAAAACTTCTTAAATAAGAAGTGATACTTGTAGAATGTGCTAGCTCATTAGAATTAAAGTATAAAGTAATTTTATGAAGAACTCAATAACATTCTAAGATTAAGCTGAACATTTTTATTTATCTTATCTTTATGTTTAATATGTGAAAAAATATCCTTTGTGCCATTAGTTCAGTATTTTATAAAATACTTAAAGGGAAGGATTTTATTTTCATATTGGGCTATGGGAATACTCAACAAAGTATGATTATAATTTCTTTATATAGTCTTGCTTGTGAGACTGTCGTATTTCTTAAGCATGTAGCTGCTACACATGGGCACACATGCCATTTTTATGCTCACATCATAATGTGAACATAAATTCATCCAAATTAACAAAAGCAAACTGATTTAAAGAAGTGTGGAGGGTGAACAAAGGACACTAGAGCCATGTGTGGCTTGTATGGAGTTTGTGGTTGTGGTATCATTTGCGAGCTGAAAGGTAGCTAAGCATTTCCATTTTGCTGTCAGTCCCTTGGGAATGAAGGGGATTCATAATGGGATGTGATCCGCACTCTTCGTAAGAGTGATTGACATTGAATGATTAAATAGAAGAAGAGAATAAATACCACTCCTCCTCCTTTTAAGGCTAAGCACATATACACTGAATGCAAATCTTTTCAGTGTGGAAGGTAGTCTGGCCTAGTGATAACACATCTCGGAAAAGCAGCATAGGGGAGAGGTAAATTATGTAGATCAAAATGCAAGAAAACCAAACCAAAATTATATAGCATACTTAAAAATGGCTTTTATAAACCCACATGTGATGGTAAATGCACGTATAGAATGTGATCAAAGATCCCTTTTGTGAAAGTAGAATCCTGACATTAGGTCTTTGGTCAATGAGTGGGCAAAATGGTTCCCTGAATTGGATAACGCAGTGCAGACCACAGTGACTGATGAAATTGATGTGTCGGAGAGAGAGCCGGCTCTATTACTGAAGGCTTTAACCTATTTTCTCTCCCTCTGAAAATGAGCTCCTGAGTGGATGTTATCCTCAAGGAAGTGAATTTAATTCAAAAGAAGATGTTTTATAGATGGGCAAATTTAATTTAAGAATTCATTTGTCCATTATAGAGGAAAACTATGTAGGAAAATATAAGTAATGTGGTCATATTTTTCAAAGATGCCATTTTAGAGTGTGTTATTTTGAGGACATGAATTTCAAGCGTTAGTAATTTCTCTTATTTAATTTTGCACTATCTCTTAGAACATATGAGTGAAACAATATTGAATCTGCATTGTAATGTTTTATTTGTTATATTAAGATATTTAATTATACAATAAATAATTCAATTAGAACACATGATTTCTTAGTTTTTCCATTTAAATTTTGAAAATATAATCTGGTCTATCCCAAGATAAATACTTATTAATTGTAAAGAATTAAAAGCCCATCTTATTAATTCATTATTATAAGACCTATTAGGCAATATTGACAAGCAGGCAATAATTACACTGAGTTTTTGCCAATTAAAAAATTTGCCCTTTATAAATTATCCCAGAAGATAAAATAGTAAGTATCCCATATATACTGTTTAGCAGGTAAGGAGTAGATTAATACTTTGTCTTTGAAATATAAGGTAGCATAAGTTATTAACCTTGGTGTTCTATCATATACACACAAATATAATTCATTATAATTTTGTTGTCATTACGGTCTTAATTTTCTCACAGTTACCACCTGTTTTGCTGTTGTTTTTTAAAAACAATGTGATCTATTGTTATTTGTGCTTCATAATGAGAATTGTGGAGTCATAAATGTATTTGGAAAATAAATTTAAAATGGAAAGCTCTTAAAGTATTTGATTTGGAGACAAATCAATAAGTTCTATATTTGACAATCAGATAAAAAACCTTTGTAAATATAAATTTTTTTAGTTTCTTCCACTTCCAGTTGTTGTTTTTAATATAAAATTTTAAAAGAAAGAATATTTGATTGAAATTGAGCAAATATATCTTCCAAATAATTTCCTTGCTCACCTTTTCCTTGATAAGTTGAATTTTCAGACATCTAATACAAAGCCATGTTCCCAGAGTGCATTCAAATATTAATTAAGGGTGGATTTATATTTATTTTCATTTAGGAGAAGTCACCCTAAAGGAAAACTAATTCTTACCAAAAGAAAAAAAAGTAAATTTTTTCTATTACTGATCTTTATCAATCCGATCTAAATATTTAGAAGCTTGTTTTTTCTGAAGCACTGAGTCAGATACTTACTGTATTGCTCTAAAATTACTTGGTAATCTGTCAGATATCATTCTGACTAAACATCTGTGTTTTTTTTTTTTTTTTTTTTTTGAGACAGAGTCTCACTTTGTTGTCCAGGCTAGAGTGAGTGCCGTGGCGTCAGCCTAGCTCACAGCAACCTCAAACTCCTGGGCTCGAGTGATCCTTCTGCCTCAGCCTCCCGAGTAGCTGGGACTACAGGCATGTGCCACTATGCCCGGCTAATTTTTTATATATATATATCAGTTGGCCAATTAATTTCTTTCTGTTTATAGTAGAGACGGGGTCTCGCTCTTGCTCAGGCTGGTTTTGAACTCCTGACCTTGAGCAATCCGCCCGCCTCGGCCTCCCAAGAGCTAGGATTACAGGCGTGAGCCACAGCGCCCGGCCTATGTGTTTCTTATATATAAAATTTCAATACACTACTCAATTTTGTACAAATGAAAAAATTCTTTCAGTTCAGCTGGTTTCCATAATCAAAATAATTAATGCTCAAAAAAATCTTAACCTCATAAAATTTAATTTAGTCTGTAATTTTCCCAATTGCTGAGTAAACTGCTATTTCACATCATGTCAACAGCTGTATTTTTAAGCGCTTTTAAAAAAACTAGCTCGGTTTTTGTTGAATATTCGCTGCCCTCTAGTGGGCTAAACTGTTCTTGTAAAATAACCGAGCCATGTCAAATTTAAATGAGTTGTTTTTATATGGAAGTGGTTAAATATTCTTTCATGTCTTAGTACTCTTGTTTTTCACTGGCTGTGAACTACTAGTAAAATTAGTACAACTAATTTTATAGCTTTTCTAGAGCACTTTGGGATGATAGGCTTTGAAGCAACTCATATAAGCAATATAAATAACAATAAATACTTTTAAGAAGGCATATTAGGCCGGTCAAAGTGGTTCATGCCTATAATCCTAGCACTTTGGGAGACTGAGGCGGGAGGATTGTTTTAAGGCCAAGAGTTGGAGACTAGCCTGAACAAGAATGAGACCCTGAGAACCCTGTCTCTCCAAAAATAGAAAAATTAGCTGGGAGTATGGCATGCATCTATAGTCCCAGCTACTTGGAAGGCTGAGGCAAGAGGATCGCTTGATCCCGGGAGTTTGAGGTTGCAGTGAGCTATGATGACACCACTGCACTCTAGCCCAAGCGACAGAGCTAGACCTTGTCTCCAAAAAAAAAAAAAGTACATTAAAATAAGCTGATCTCATTGACAGTTGTATGTTTCAGTATTTTTTAAAATTTATAATGTATTTTATAAAACACACTACCTAATTCTAAGTTGTTTTCATCATTCTTTCTTGCAGATGCTACAATTGTGGTGGCCTTGATCATCATGCTAAGGAATGTAGTCTACCTCCTCAGCCAAAGAAGTGCCATTACTGTCAGAGCATCACGCACATGGTGGCAAACTGCCCGCATAAAACTGTTGCACAGCCGCCCACCATTTCTCAGGGAAGACAGGAAGCAGAGTCCCAGCCATGCACTTCGACTTTCCCTCGGGAGGTGGGAGGCGGGCACGGCTGTACATCACCACTGTTTCCTCAGGAGGCTAGGGTAGAGATCTCGGAACGGTCAGGCAGGTCACCTCAAGAAGCTTCCTCCTCGAAGTCTTCTGCAGCACCAGAAGAGCAAAGCAAAAAGGGGCCTTCAGTCCAAAAAAGGAAAAAGACATAACCCTTCTTAATGTATCGCTGTCTTTACCCGATTGGGAAGTCTACCTCATGCAAGTACAGGGGAACAGTATTTCATAAACAGCAGCTGACCTGGGATTTTAACTACTGTTGAGGAACTGTGAATTTTTTAAACAGACAAATCACTAAGCAAATTACATTTGATCAGGGTGTCATGTTTTATGTTATTCAGAGAATGAGATACTATGTATATCAATATGTGCTTATGTGAGAGGGAGAGAGCCTGAAACCCTGTGTGTGTATATGAGGATTTTTATATAGGAATGTAGACATATATATAAAGAGGGTTTGTCTTTATATATGTGTGTATATAGATAACGAGCACACACCCTCCCTCACATAATTGGACATTTCCAAGAATTGAAAGCCCATGGGAAGTATTTTAGGTGTTTTCAAATATAACCCCTGCAGTTTTCTTGAAATACCACTTCTTTTATATTACATAAAAATAAAAACATGACTGTTATTTTTTGTGTGAACCAAAGGATACTTCAGATCTCAGAGCTGCCAATCATATGGTACTAAAGGTTTTTAAAACATCTAGTTCTCCCAAGTTTGGGATTGCCTCTTTTTCTTGATATCTATGGAGTGGTATTTTCTTCTTCTTCTTATTCTTCTTCTTATTCTTCTTCCTGTTTGAAGGCAGTACCTTAACTCTATATGCCTCTGACTGCCATAAGCTTTTTTGATTCTGGGATTCATAACTCCAGAAAAGACAATGAATGTGTAATATCTGTGCCGAAATTTCAATGTTTTTAATTCTATGTTTTGATTGTAAATTAGATGCCTATTAAGAGAAATGAAGGGGAGGGGTAATGTATAAAGGTAGTGACTTGATTGTTTTCCATGGTATTTTGATACCAGCTCATTGTAATCTTTTTCTTGCTGTGAGGTTTTTGAGGGATTGTGGCAACGGCAGCTTCCCTCAACTAAGTCAATCCTGTAACCATCGCTTAGAGCAGGGAGCCCTCCTTATTTACTACTGAAGACCTTAGGGGAAAACTCCAATCGTTTGGCATATATTTTTGGTGGCTGTTTTTATTCCCCCTGGGAAGTTATTCAACTTGTTTCTAAAACAAGCAAACAAGAGCAGCACAAAAATAAATAAAATACTGGGGTTGAGAGTGGAAATGAAGTGGATGCTCACAATTGCCCAATATGTATGACCTGTGAATGATATTTAAAAAGTGCAGTGTTTGGTGCCAGGCAACTAGAGTGACAAGCCTGAGACAGAGGTACCAAACCTCTCCACCAGGTAACTATAAGTATTTTATATGATAAATTGATCATATGGAAGTTATCTTCAGTGCTTACGCTAGAGTAACCTATGTGGTAGATTCAGGATGAAATTCAGTTCTGGGGATAGAGAATCTTCTCAGGTTGATTCTCAGTTGTAGTCAATAAACTGGCTAGGGACCAATCATAGTGTTGGTCCCTTTAGGTTTCAGTCATTAAAAAAAATTATTTTGGGGTCATCCTGGTTCTAGGTATTATGGGCAAATTTCTGAAACATCCTCAAGAAGGTACCAAGTAATCATGATGCTTAATATTGACAATAAGTATAGTTTTGTATGGGCCTGTTGGCGTAAGCTCAGATAATCAAAAAAAGAAAATAGCATGACTCAAATGAGACGTATTTTGCTGAACAGTTTCTGTTCCTTCTCCCATTTGTCCTGTCCTGTGTCATGGGAGATTTGTAAGTTGCTGCTGTTTCAGCAAGCCACCCTAAGAAGAAAATGCCTCCGGTTGGGTTACCAGCCCTTTACAACTCAGCTTGAATTTCATGACAGTGTTTGTGAGAATCTCTGTGGTATATACTGAAATATCATTGTGCTATGATGCAAAGCTTACCTTTGACGATATTGAATGTGATATAGCTGTAGAGCAGTACTTCCTTGCCTTATGTGAGGATTTCAAGCTTATTTAAATTATGTAGACAAATCAAAGTGGCATTGCTTAATTGTTGGCAGGTATAATAAGCAGGTTAACAGTAAAAATGCAAAACATGTTAAGTCACTTTGAAAATTCAAACCAAAGTTCCTTGATTTTATAGAAATAGGAAATTATGGACTTGAAAATTGGACATTCCCTGTTTACATATAAAAATTCATAGCTAAGATCATGGTAAGAAACACAGAAACACTTTTGAACTATGGACCTTATGGGTGCAATTTGAAATCCTTTTCAACATCTTACTAGACTGAACTACTAAGAGCACATACCAAACCTATCTTATGATTAAAAGTTGGGGTTTATTTTTTATATGAGAATATTGTCACTATTACATACATACTCAGGACAAAGAACTTTGCTCAGGGAACATACCATATAATGTTATTGTTGTTGTTTCTTTACAGAGTAGTCGACAGTCCTGCTTACTCAAAATAAACCAAATAACTTAGACCTTTATATAAGTAGTATGTACTGATGTTAGTAACTACCTCTGAGTTTGACATAGATCAAAATTTCTAAATATCAGATATCGGTTCTCCTATTTTTATTTCATGTGAGAAATCCTCTAAAGCAGGATTCCTCCACTCCTTGCATATATGTGAATATCACTGATGTGAGCACATTGTCCATTTACATGGGTGAAATATTATTCTGTTTACAGCAAAAGGCTACCTCATAGTTGATGCACAGCACACCTGGATGCTGTTCTAGCCTTACGGGTGGCTGATAATTCTCTGGTACAGAACCTTTTTATCTGTATTATAGATAGCAATTCACAACTGCATGTTTCTGACAAACACTTGTGAATAATGAAGCATCTCATTTTAGTTAGCAAAGTCCCCAAGCATTTCCTTAAAATGATCATGTATTTAGCTTAAAGAATTATGGGCACTCTTCAACTTAAGCGAAAGTTGTGCAGAGTGCAGAAACAATCTTAGAAATATCTGCTTTGCCCAGAGGTGGAGGTTGGAAAGGGGTAGCAGGAAGACGGGTCCATGTATGAGTGTATGAGTGTATTTGTGCTGGGCAAACAGTTTAAAAGATGCCAATCTCCTTCATTTATGTGTGTGTTGCCCTGAAGCCAAGCATATTGCAACATCATAGCCCCAGGCACATAACTAACTAGCACTGGCTTGCCAAGGAGTGAACATGCAATGCCATGCCTAGCTGTTGAGGAAGAAGAGTCTGTGTAAAGCATCAGTTTGCAGGGTTTACTAATGGTGGGGCAGCAGGTCTGTGAATTAAGTTGTCTCTTAACCAACCTCACCCTCATGTCAACACAAACGTAATTCCTAAAAAAAAAGATGCCCTACCAGTCTCTTAGCCCTATGAGCTATTCATTTGCTACATGGCAGATTATAGTGGAAACATTTTTATACTTGCATTTCTAGTCTTTGCTACAAGACTTTGGATGTATTTTTACAATTGAAAGATTTAGAAAGATTTTTACCTGCTTATAACTTGGAAGTGTAGTGTGCAATGTAACAAAAGAGATCAAGAAATGTCATGTTATTAGCATCATTCCACCACCAAACATAGAATGCTTTTATTGCCAATGTTTTCTTTGAATTCTGGCTCCGTTTTATTTTGCACCAGTGTGGCCCCAAGTTACTGCTGGTTGTATTTAGTTTGTGAATAGAAGCCCATAAGTGTTAATAGACTTTGTAACATTCACTGTAAGATGAATTATACAGGACATGGGGAATCTCATTAAGTCTTAAAATTAATTTAAATTAATTTATCTGTTTTCTCTAAGAAATGTTTATCATAAAATATATATGTGTATTTCCCCTTTGGTTATAAAATTTGGGAAAGTATGTACAAGTGCAGCTGCACTGACTTTAATTTTCTAGATGTCTTAATGAGATTTATTTGTTTTAGAGAACAACTTGTTGAAAGCATCAAATTCTGTCTTACATAACTATCAACAGCCTCTGTAAGATGTGGTGGTTATGTGATCTGTGTCATAGTTGTTCAATTAGAGTGAAAGGTTAACATAATTCATTTTTAAATTTTATATTTGGAACAACGCTGCAAGTTATGGTAAAGTACTGTACTGTGAGAAAGTATTATGATATTTAATACATCTGTGGCTTAACACTTGTGAGAGTTACCAGCTTGAAAATGATGGTGTTGACTACCTCTTGAATCACTTACATCTATCAACCACTGGCACCTACCACCAAGCTGGCTTTAATTAGTATGTATTGCTTTTTGGTGTTAACAACTCTAACCATACTAGAGACCAAAGTGAACCCTGATTTTTATATGTCTTTAATATGGTGTTTTATCTAGGGTTTTTAAATCATCCTGTGTAGTATTTAGATTACCTCATTGTCCATTTTGACTCATGTTGTTTACAGTGGAAATAACACTTGAACTGTATGTTTTTAAAGGTCAAAAAAGTAGATGTTTGGAATGGCATTTCCCTCGTGTGTGGTCATCTTGATGGACTAAAGCACTGTTTGCCTTTCTGCAGACCATGGATTTAATATTCTCATTTCATGCCTATTGTCTTATTCTGTCAATTATGGATATGTTGAGGCTTAAAAAAATTACTTGATTAAAAATAAAACATATAACGTTGGCATTTATAATGGGTTTTGGAGATTTTTCATGATTTATGTGATTGCTACATTAAATAAATGAATAAAAGGCCATTTGGGCAGTATTTACACCAATCTGAGCATAAGTTCAATGGTTTTAACATATCCTCAGGTAATAGCGATTATTAACATGGAACTTATTTATGACAATACAGATGGTGAATAAATGCAGTGTGAATGAATGAACAGGGAACAGTGGGTCCTGCCATCAGTAGGAATTGTCCTACATTATCCAACAGGGATTGTATAAGGTTGTTGGTTGTTTTTTTTTAATTTTTCAGTATTACTATTATTAATATTTGAAACAGGGTCCCACTGTGTTGCCCAGGCTGGTCTCAAACTCCTGGACTCAACTGATCTTCCTACCTTAGCCTTTAGAGTCGCTGGGATGACAGACATGGGCCACTACCTGGCTGTGCAAACTTGTTAGTTAGGATACATACTCCATGTGGTTAGGAAGAGTGATCTGAAACAAAATTTCCAAAGCCTTTCAGAGAAATTGTTTTAGAAATTTCCTACAAATTTTTCCTAATAAAAAACTTGGAAAGAAAAACGAAAGCCAGGGTACAACAGTACCAAATATCTAAAATGTGAATGTAGATTATCAGACTATGAATGCAGTATTGTTGTAGTGTAAGAAACTATTTGAGGCTGGGCATGGTGGATTATGCCTATAATTCCAATACTTTGGGAGGCCCAAGAGGGAGGATCACTTGAAGCCAGTTTAAGACCAGCTTGGGCAACATAGCAAGACTCCATCTCTACAAAAAATAATAAAACATCAGCCGGCCATGATGGCGAACGCCTGTAGTCACAGCTACTCAGGAAGCTGAAGCAGGAGGATTGCTTGAGCCCAGGATTTCAAAGTTATAATAAACTATGATTGTGCCACTGCACTCTAGGCAACAGCGAGAGACCCCATTTCTTAGGAAAAAAACAAAACAAAAACAATTTGGTAAAACTGTTGAGTTCTACTGAGTTCTATAAATTGGCCAATCCCACAATTAAAGTCATTTTTTATTCTACACCAATAAGTGTAGATGATTCACTTTATTTTTTTGTGATGATTTTAAAGTGATGATTCACTTTATTTTTTTGGTGGTCTTCTATGACTCCTGCTTTTTCATTTTTACTTTACTTTTAATTGTGGTAAAAAAAAAAATAAACTTCACTATCTTAACCATTTTGAATTGTACAGCTCAGTAGTTTTGAGTATTTTCACAGTCTTGTGTAACAGTGGGTGATTCACTTTGCTTACGATGTGAAGGGTTTTTTGTTAGAAAAGCTTTGTGTTATGCTAAAAACAGTATTGTACTTTACTGTAGAGAATATGGTAGAGATACTGTAGAGAATATAGAGCTTTATGCTTTTCATTTAACATTATATAACATTTTATATCATTAAAAGTTATTTAAAAACAACTTGATAAATCGTTGGGTTTGAGGAAGTGAGATTTAGATTGAGCACAAAAGATGGGCCTGGCTTGTATCAAGGGTGGGAATCAGAAGAATATGTAGAAGAAACAGTATAAATAAGAGATCAAGAATAAACCTTCCATGCTGAAGCAGTCAGTAAAGAGACTCATTTTGCTGGACAAAGTATAGAACAACAACTGACTGTTTCAGAGGGCAACCCAGGCAGCCAGGAACTCGAGGGGCTATAGCTTTGGAAGAAGGGAAGCGCCTGAGACAAGCATGTTACTCCAGCTTTTCCCCTCAGCACTCTGCAGCTCCCTGAGGTGCCACCAGGTGACAGGACCCAGCGAGAAGTGGCAGCATAGAGAGCTGAGGAAACAGGAATTCAGGGCCGTCTGAGCAACAGAAAAATTAAAGGACAAATCCCAGAGAGGAGGACTTAAAGAAGGGAGCCCCTAAAATCTTCATACAGATTATTTTTTTTATTTTAGGCATTATGGGGATACAAGTTTTAAGGTTACATATATTGCCCATGCCCCCCTCCTCCCTTGAGTAAGAGCTTCAAGCATGTCCATCCCCGAAACGTTGCACATCTTACTCGTTGTGGTTGTATTTACCCATCCCCTCCTCCGGACACCCAATACATATTACTCCTATATGTCCACTTAGGTGCTGATCCGTTAATACCAATTTGCTGGTGAGTACATGTGGTGCTTTTTTTTCATTCTTGAGATACTTCACTTAGTAGAATGAGTTCCAGCTGTATCCAGGATTTTATTTTCAAGACATTGACTGAATCTTATAACTCAGCATGTGATCAGAATGAGGCCAGAGAGGAGCCTAGGGAGCAAAATTTAAGAACGTGCACATTTTTAGGGAGGTACCTTGCCCCAGGTGTCTTCCTGTCTCACCCTAGTTTACACCTGGCTGGGAGTCTAAAAGAGGGAGAGATGTCAGTCATCCAGTGCTGGGGAGATAGAGATTGAATTTCAAGCCTCATTGACTTAGATGGCTCTTGGTAAACGCCCTGGTCTGTCAGTGTTACCCCACAAAAAGGTATATAGACCCCAGAAGAATTATGCTTTAGGAGTAGGGGCTATATACTAGGAAAACGAGCAAAGCTGAAACAAACCAGTCCCAATAAAGCCTAATATTAACCCTTAATGGGACAAAAGTGGCCAGCTAATACATTGGCTGCCTGCCAAAGAGAAAACAGCCCTCCTTGGAAGAAGAGCCTCTACAAATTTTCATCTACAGTATCTGACATCCAATCAAAGAGTAAAAGGCATGCTAATAACCAGTTGGTTGGAAGCAAAAACAGACAACAAAAAGTTATGCACATATAATTAAGATACTGCAATTATTATAAAAGGACTTTAAAAATAACTATGACAAATATAGGGGAAGATACAGAAGTGAAAGAGAAATTCTAGAACCAAAAATTATAATAATGCCTGAAAATAGGAATTCAACAGATGAGGTTAACAGCAGTTTAGAAGCAACAGAACAGAAGATTAGAAAATGGGAGACAGATCCATAGAAAGTATCCAGATTGATGAACACAAAAAATTTGATAGTGCAATATATGTGAAACCAAATGGCAGAGGTTTTAAAAAAAAAAGCAACAGAGTCTGTATTGCTTGTTTGGAATGGAGTGAAAGGGAGAATAAATGTAATATATCAACTAGAAAAGACTTAGGAAGTTTTTCAGATAAAAAAGTTACTTTTTTGTTTACTGTTTTTGTTTTACAGTCATGCCTCACTTAATGATGGGGTTACATTCTGACATGTGTTGTTAGGTGATTTTTGTCTCTGTGTGAACATCATAGAGTGAACTTGCACAAACCTAGCTGGATAGCCTACTGAACCCCTAGGCTCTATCCTATAGCCCCTTGCTCCTAGGCTACAAAGCTGTACAGCACGCTGTACTGCATGAATACTATGGGCAATTGCAACACAATGGTAAGTGTTTGTGTATCTAAACATAACTAAGCATAGAAAAGGTAAAGCAAAAATATAGTAGTATAATCTTTTGGGACCACTATCACATATGCAGTCTGTCAATGACTGAAACTTTGTTTTGCAGCACGACTATTTCATTATTGGAGAAACTAAAATAGCAGGAATAATGAATGTGGAAAAGCTACAAGTCTCAACGAAGTTATTGTAATTATTATACAGTTGTTTCTTTAGCAAAGTTATTATAGTCTTGCTTCCCACCTTTCTTGCTCAAAGGGTAGCTAGAAACCTGGTTGGATTACTGCTTTTTGCTTTTATTCCTGAATGTGGATATCTTTCGCCAAACCTCATTGTTGTAGGTTTGAAACCATAGTGACTCTGACAATAAGACAGACAAGATGGACAGATCCCGATGCCGGGGAGAAACAGCCCTTTGCTTCCACTCCTCGGTAGTGTCTTCTCATGACCTTGTCCTTTAGTCCTTAGGGATATTCTCTCACATGCCTGAAGGCAGAAGAGAATCGAAGCTGTGGGGAGAGAGAGTCTGCAGGTTCTAGAAGAGAGGCTAATAGGGAACCAGTTTCATGAAAGAACATAAGGAGAAAGGGCTTCTCATCACTTCTTTTGGTTGTTCTCTACGTGGCCAAGGGAAGTATCAGACAGTTTGGGTGGATGTGGATTCTGAGATGGAAATAATTAATTTTCGTATTTTAATGAAACTCCCTAGACCATCATTGAAAAGCTGGGACTTGGATAATCTGAACTTTTATAAATGTGTAGAAACACACAACCATATAATGCTGTTGCACCCCACGTGCTGATTTGGAGAAACATAGTTCACCACCCGTGTCCTCTCCAGGGAGCTACACTGGGAAAAAACGATGAAGTTAGTGTTTATAGATAGAAGTATTTCATAATTAAAATACAAGTAGTTCAATATGCTTCTGTAATTCGTGTTTATTTTGTTTTTCTAATAAAGAACAAACGTGAGGCCCACTGAAGACAACAGGAAGACTCAGAATCCAGCTTTTCCTCCTGCATACACAAGGCACTGCATTTGCATTACCTAGTGCTTGTACCTCCTGCATAAGCTGTTTGTAAGGGCCTTTACAAGAAGCTTTTGTTTTCGAGGCTACTAAACCAAAACAACTGCGGTGTGATAGCCACCATTTTGTGATAGAGTCTGTTCCTGTTTTCTTGTTATTTTTGTGAAATATTCTCTTAAAAACTCTTTGTATGGGATTTCTTGTTTGCTTTGATTTCTAGAAACAATTCAAATTGTTTCTGAACAATTCTACTGAAAACTGTAAAAGAAGATTTTACTGTTATTCAAATATAATTCCTGTTTCTCTCAATTTAGAAATCAGCATGTTATCCTTTCTAATCCCTCCCCCTCTCCCTCCTTCATTCTCTCTCTCTCTCTCTCTCTCTCACACACACACACACACACACATGCACATACACACACTTTCTAAATTAGTTTTGGGTACCTGGAAAACGGTAAATGTTTCTGAGGCTGCATATCAGGCATATTTCTTAATACAGTATAGTGTGTATATTTTGTTTCTAAAATTAATCACAATTTTTGACGATGTGAGCTCTTTTCTGAAGGTC